TGCCTCCAATGCCCACACATACACGTGCATACATGCCAACGAATGTAATAATAATAATTTTTCTTCACAATCCACTGGTTTTTTGTCATTAATTGCGGTTGCAAAAATCCAAAAATTATGAAATGAACACACAATCGGGTTTTGGGTTAATAAAATTATGATTGATTTGTTAGTGTAGCGTTGTGGTTTTTTGAATATTGTTGAAATTCTAAAAGGAATAGATATGCATATGTGGAAGATTGGAAACGGATAGCGCTTTGCATTATTGAGGTGACCTGGCTTTGAGAGACGACAAAAGATTTCTTCAACATTGGGACATCGTCACTTTTCGGAAGAATATCTTCAAGCATGTGTAGGCAGTGATGCAAATAAAAATAATTTTTGTGACAGATTCCGGTCATTACTTTTTTTTGACTTTTTTTGATGCGTAAAACATTGGAGATATCAAAAACAAAATATTGAGTAAGGCATTGCTTACAAATTGTTATGAAAGTTTGACAGTCCGTTTCGTGGTTTTGTGTTTTTAGCGACAGAAAACTTCCCTGAGTAATTTGGAGGAATGTTACCAAGAGTTGGCAGTTCTTGTCCAAGCAAAAGCCCGTGTTCGTACAGTTTTTGTAGATCCGGCAATCGTGAGAACGGCGCTTCGTTTTCGTTTACGACGTTTGCAGAATAATTCTACAATTGATTTAGGAGACTTAAAAGAGTAGAACGGAACATAAAATATGCCCAGAAAAAGCACAAAAACCAGAAACTTCTATTTTATTCCTGCTAAAGATTTAAATATTATTATTTAATTATAATTATGTAAAGTAGTTACTTAGTAAATCTAATAGTGTACAAGGAGAAAACTTAAATTATCAAGCGTGTTTTTTCGAAATGTTTATTAGTAAATAAACCTAAATATTTGTGGTCAATTAATTTTGTAAATGATAATTGGTTGGTAATTTAAAAAATTATTAACTTTTCTTATTCTAAACAAGTAAGGAAGGGCAAAGTTCGGGTGTAACTTAACATTTTATACTCTCGCAACTTGCAATCATCACATATCGGAATAATTCTTTTCGAATTTCAGTAGTATATCTGACATGTTGACCGATATTTTTGGTAAAAAGTTCGCAGAATGAAGTGAGGTACACATACTCGGCATCTGCGGGCTTGAATAGTTTTAGTCCGACTTGGACAATTTTTAGTCATAAAGTGGCACACCTCAAATGCATTATTCGTGCAAAGTTTTATTTGGATACAATCATTGGTTCTTAATTTGTAAACTGGAAAGCGAAAAAATAACATGGACTTTAAAATGGTGTTATATGGGAAGTAGGCGTGGTTTTTGTCCAATAGGTAGGTACCGAAATATGGGTTTTTAAAGCTCTTTTGTACCATCGCGTGTGTAAAATTGTATGTCTCTGGCGCATTTAAGTAGTTTTTAACAGCAGCGTTCTGTAGAGAATGGGCGGATATTTTTATAATCCAAATTCACCCATTTCCATAGGGTGAGTAGGGATGCCAAAGGAATTTTCCATGAGCGAATTTGGTTATTATAGCTTAAATGGTTTATGAGATAAGACATTGCACTCCGCGACGACCACATTTTAAACATTTTTTCAACCATAAATGCCTCTTGCAAATGTATTTCGTTGTACTATATAATAGCCCTCTATTTTATTGTGAAACTTAGTTGTGGTACTTTATATATTTTTGAATTGTTCCTTTGGTGCCAGGGAACATGTGTACCAAGTTTCATCGATATGTCAATTTTTACTCAAGTTATCGCTTGCACAGACCGACGGACGGACAGACAGACAGTCAGTCGGAATTCAACTCGTCTCGTCATCATTAAACATTTATATATAAAATACATAACCCTATATCTAACTCGATTAGTTTTAGGTGATACAAAAAACCGTTAGGTGAAAAAAAACTATTATACTCTGTAGCAACATGTTGCAAGAGTATAAAAAATATAAATATATATGTTAATAAGTATATGTATGTGTAATTAAGTTTCGACTCGTGTGGTTAAGCTAATGTATGTGTGTATTGTGTATTTATACACGTATGAGTATTTTGATGCTTTTCAATCTCTAGAAAATCAAATAGTTTTCGCTGCATTTGAAATTAAAATGTATTCAGTGCAGCCGAGTTGTATTTGCAAAACCGTTTCAAACAGCCATGAACCAGCAGCGGCGCGGACAATGACATACCTGTATGTGTGGTAAGGCTACTAACTAGCTTGCAAATACATAACATACATACATATACATGCGCACACATATGAGTATGTATGATTGCATAATTCAAATATAAACTAAAAAAGTGATCAAGTCATGTAATTGCAACAGCATTTGAACTAGAATGGTCGAATTGAAAACGCCTCGAGCCAGTTCGGCTTTCGTCGGATAAATCATGAAAAATACAGCGTAAACAACTATTGCAGAATTAAAACTACAAAAAATGCTTCAATATGGTCATGGTCGATTTAACATACACATATGCGCAAGCGCTCTAGTATTTTCTAGTGTGGCGCACTGCTAGTAAAAGCTTTCAAATAGTGTAATTCGTGTTAATGGACGAGTGTATTTATACTCTTATTGAGTTTGTACATTTCGAAGAAATTGTAGTTGTTACAGTTATGCATTATATATTTCAAATACCAGTTTCAAACATGCTGCATATTTATTCGAAAGCTTTTAATATTGCTGAATATCTTAGTTTCTTTGAAGTAATTTTTTGTTTGAATTTTCACGAAAATTTTAATTTGTACAGATTTTAATATTTTCGCAATTATATTTACTTTTTCTGATTTTTGTAAGTTTTTAATGTTGTCTGCTTTTCAATACTGATATGAATCTTCATAATGTCTGCAAATCAGAGTTTTTTATCTGAAATAGTTTCAAAGCAAATAATATAAAAATATACAATTATTATTTCAAAAAATTTAATTTTTCAATAAATTTCATGAACTACTGATGTAAACATATTTTGATTTTCTCACAATTTGCAGTTATATGTTTTATATGATGTTTAGTGCGCTATGGCGTATGAGTAATGTTCCATAATAATTGCAGTGATTACAGTTATTAGTATTGCTATTAAAATTCATATATTATTGTAAAATTTAAAAAATATGTTATTGAAAAAAAAAAGTTAAATAAAGTTCATAATATGACCTCAGTGGTTATTTGTCTCGAATTATAAAATTATCAAATGTTACCTAAATTGCATCTATTTTCTCGAACTTCGTTAATCTGTTATATAATGTTAATAATTGTATTCCATTCCAAATTTACCACTTATTGCAGAAATTTGTTGGACTTTCAATGTGTAATAAAAAACAGATTGTGGAGATCAATTTTGTTTAGGAAACGATAATCGTATTTCGGTAGTTCGCTAAAACAGCTGACTTAACTGAAAAATATTTGGCGAATCGAACAACCAACTAGCATAAATTATATAGATTGTTATAAGCAAATTCAAAATCAAAAAAATCCCTACATTAATAAAGGGAAACATACATTACCTTATATTAAATTCCAGTGTTGCTTTCATTTATACTTTAATACAATATATTATGACAGACCTAAAAAAAATAGAAAAGTAGTGAAGATCTGTGTTCAGTAAAAAGAAGAGGAGGCACGTGGTGAAAATTTATGGGTTAAAAATGATTTATCTCGATTTACAGAAAATCTGATATTTTGACTTGGGAGTTTTTGATTGCAAAAAAGTGTTTTTTTCCGATATTAACTCAAAATAAAAAGAAAATATAAATTTTTAAATAAGAAAAATACAGTGTGTTTGGAACATAATTAGTAAAGTTTACACCACATTTTCTATAAAGATTTTTTGTTTTGTAAATGATAAAAATAAAAACCGACAAACTTGTTTATTTTAACTTTTCACATAAATGTTGAGGTTATGTGAATTGCTAAACCAAAGTTGTAGATCTTTTCATTACCTAAAACTTTGCCATATAATATCTTTCTAAAGAATGCGTAGTTTTGCCGTAAATCAAGTTAAGCCGCTTTTAACGCTTGAAAATTCAACCAAAAACCTCCTCCTCCTCTTCCCGGCCTCAGATGGCCCGTAAATTACTATTCTTTTCATTTTAATTTTTGTTATCTAATCTTTCGTTTCCAATGGATTTCAATCTATTAAGTTTTTTTTTTACACTTTTTACCATTTTCAAAGCTTTCTGCGCTGACCTTGGAAGTTTGGTTGGCATTGTTTTTCTCAACTCTTATATGTTAAATGCACATAACCAGCAGGCCTATTTAAAAGAACTAATTGTAGAATTTTTTAAATGAAAATTGCAATCAGTTCTAACTAAAAGCATAAACGAATATTTCGAAGTCAGACAGATTAAGCGGAATATTATTCAAACTCTAGTTTATTTCATAAAAACTATAAACACTTACAATATATGTATATATCTATACAGTTTTTTGCAATTTGTCGCTTTTGGCGCAATTCACTGATACATACCAACAAGCTTCGAAATGCGACACATTGAAATGTTGCTTGCGTCAGAAGTCGCTAGGTTGAGTGTTCAATAAAATTTGCCTTTCGCAAATGTATTTACTATTACTATAACCATTACCAGAGTACGGAAGCGTACACACAGGCAGCACACTGATGTTTGATTGGCTCACATCCAAATATTGCATGTTATCGGCACACCATTGTTAATTTTTTCAGCAGCAGTGTATGCGCGGCAGAAATGTGGCCAAAATTTTTAATGCTTATAAAGAGTGTAATTACAAACGATTTACCATACAACAATTAAATCTATATTGCCACCATTAGCCCCTAGATTAGTATCTAACTCGCTCGACAATCTCTATAAAGGGCGGTGCAGGTGTCGAGCTCTGCATAGTGTGTGTTTGAGTAATTTAGAAATTACTAAAAAAATAATTTATTTTAGACTAAAGAAAAGCGGCACGATTTTTTCAAAAACACTAAATTTTGAAATATATTTTATTTCAACTTGATAATATTAGATTTCAACATGGCAAATCAAGTGTGGTATGGCGTGGCGTTGCTGTTTTTTGCCACCAACATCATGGCTGCCGATATACTAATGGTCACAATGGGCGGTACCAAATCACATAAAATACCCTTTTGGGAGCTGGCGAAAGGACTGATACACAGGTAAGTGTGGTGAAACTATATGAAAATAATAATACTCGTATAGATTTGTGTTAAAATAAAAATTTAGAAAAGCTTCGAAGTTTCTTTATTGTATATAAAAACTTATATTTGGGCCGTTTTAAATTACAGAGCTTTTTGGAAGCTTTCAAACAGATATCTAACTGCACTGAGAAGAAGAAAACAAAACAAATACTCTTTTACGGCTTCTTCATATAATCTTCTAGCACCAGGCATATAAATACTCACATAATAAGCAATATATTATATTTTTAAATTCTCATAGCTAAAATCTTTTGCAAACTTAGAGAAATTGTCCCAATTCATCACGTGTTAGAATTATCTTCATTTTGATTTTTAGTCTCGCGGGTTTCTTTTCGCCAAAAATTTTATTACTCACAAGTGCGGTTAGCCTGTTGCGCAAACAGTTAGTGTTCACGTGTTATACATGGCAGTCAAACACGTATTTAAGATTTTTATGAGCTTTTCGGAACACCTGACTAGAATTATATTTTTATTTGGAAATTCTATTTATAACTATTTTATTCTTTTTCTAACTTTCAGAGGTCACAACATCACATTCCTTAATGGCTTTCCATCGGATTTTCACATTAACGGCTTGCACGAGATCACACCAGCTGGCTTGGTAGAGTACATACAAAATTATACGAATTGGGATTTATTGGGGTCACGTATGTCTGGTGAAATGCCTTTATCGATGTGGGACGCATTTCGATATGCATTTCAGGTGAGTTTCTGAAAATCAATTAAAATTAAGATTAATTTATAGTAACATTTCCTATCTCAAACCCTCTTTGGGAATGAAGAGTTATTGTTACTCAGTAAGTAGAATTTGATCTCTAAAAGGATTCTAGATTTCTAACAGAATAGACACGTAATATATGATTCATCTTTGTTGGTTAATTGCGAAGGTAAAATTAAAAATACACATAAACCAGAGAGTTACACATTTAAGCCAGAAAGTAGTACTGTACAAAAACATATTTTGTAAAACAGTAAAGAACCCTGTCCACCTGACAATAAGACACTTAATAAGAAATGATTGCAATAAACTTGTTATTGATCTCACTCATGTTTGCCTAGGGTTTTCAACATTTTCTTCAAGACAATTTAATATATATCAAAACCTTTGTAAAAATTAAGACTGTCTCAAAACTAAATCGAAAGTTGGTTGGGATCCTGAAATTCAGTCAGCGGTACTCGATAAAGTTTTCGTACGCTTTGTCATGGAGTCTGAATATTCCAAAAGTGGCACCAAATTTATCTTCGGGAGGGCGGATCACAAAAGTATCTCTCCAAACGCTCATAGATAAATACTTAGGCTATGCTGATAATTAGACGAAAATCAGCGTGATGTTAGGGAATATCGTTTTTATGTGAGTCATGGAATTCGACATAAGTCTTCACGAAGCCAATCTGCCGCGCAGTGTCGTATATATATATTAAGCGATGCCATTTTCCCATCTTTCTGGCAATTTGTGGATTCCATACTAAAAGAACTGCGTTGGCTTGTCGGTCAAGAATGAATCAAGCCAATTTTTGATATGTTGTGAACAATTAAATTTTTAATTTTTAATCCAAGATGTTTGGGAAAATATTATTTTTTGATTTGAATGAACGCGAAAAATTCTAAAACAAATTTTGTTTTTAATTCTTAATTATATACTTCTGATTAAAATTTTTGTTTTTTATTTTTTAATCCGGTATGCGCGATAAAAAACTCTTTTTTGATTTTGTTATCTCAAATACGGAATAAAAAAAGAATTTAAACCCGCATACCGATTTAAAAAATATAAACAAAAAAAATTTTAATCCCACGCACTGGATTTAAAAATAAAAAAAATTTAATCCCGCATACCGGATTGAAAAAATTTTAATCTCAAGTATACAATTAAGAATAAAATATTTTGGGATTAAAAAATATAAAAAATATTTAGTTCAAATGTTAATTCAATTATTTTTAATGCATTATTTCTATCCCTGGTTGTGAACCATATTCCACTGAGTGCGTTCGGTATCGGCCGGAACAAATGGTAGCCAGAAGAGGCGAAGAATGAGCGAAAAGAAGGGTGAGGCAAAACTTCCCAACCGCAAAATATATAAATTGTTTTCTTTTTTTACAAGCTCAGCGCTCCAATTTGCATCGCAAGCTATTTGCTTGTAATTGCGAGCATTTATGTAGCGAACCACTTGCTGGAGCACCAACGACAACTTAAACCGGATGTGTGTACCTTTTTCCGACTTCTACTCTTTCGCCGTAACTTAAAGCCTTACAGGAGTTGGCTATAGCAATTTGTACAAGGGTTGCTCTATGCATACACTTAGGTCTGCGGTTTTAAATTGTTGCCTTATTTAATGATGAGCATATCAACACTTGGTAGTGGACACACATAATTTAAAGTCATTGTTTACGGAAATTATAATTATTTATAGATAATGATTACTTTTGTTTAAGAAGCTTAATCTACGTTGAAGTCATAATCGAAAAAAAAAATTTATATATATTTTTTTATAAATATGCTCACACTTGTTTATGAAGTTAGACTTTACTATTATAAATTTATATTCTGTATGAAAAGCATGTGGAAACATGGACTAGTCTGCTAAGAGTATTGACGCCCCGGCGAACGGCTATCACAGTCGTGCACTAAATTACAAAACGCTCGTACTGTTTATGTTTGCAAATTAATGTAACAACGTAAGTCGCAGCTTAGGGTGTTTGTTGTTATTGTTGCATGTGCGTTTCAAGGTGGGCACGTCCCAAACTAAACGCCTAAGCTTTGCTTAACATTACGTGTGTGGACGTTTCGATATCGATTTTTTCATATTTTATGTGTGAAACGCTGCTAATGGAAATTCATAAGTAATTATATTAGCAATACATAAAATATCAGCATATACTCGTACATATATTGCAGTAACAATAACTTGTTTTTTTTTTTAACTTTTAAAATATTTATACAGTGCTTTATCTGAAATTAAATTCTCTATCTCAGTCCTGCGATGCTATGCTGGAGGATGCTGAAACTAAGGAGCTCATGAATCGCAGCTTTGATTTAGCCATTCTGGATGGCGCCTTTCCCGAATGCGCGCTCGGCATGGTCTACCAATACAAAATACCATTCATGTATATGAATACAGTAGGTTTCTACACCGGCAGTTTGGCTAAGTCTGGTAATCCCGGTTCATATGCGATAACGCCGAATTTCTATTCAAGCTTTACGGACACGATGAACATCTTTCAGCGTGCAATGAACACCGGCATACAAGTGTTTCAGGATGTTATGCACAAGGTAAAGTATATAAAACAACTTCCTCATATTTAATACTAAAAGGTCTTTTCATACCAACAGTTAGTCATAGCGTTCGTTTATCGCGTGATGCGCGAACGCATCGATATAAATATACCGCATCCCTATGACATCTCGAAAAATGTTAGCTTTATACTGCAGAATGGCCACGCTGTCGTGTCATATCCACGCGCGCTCAATCCGAATGTCGCTGAGATCGCTTGCATACACTGCAAACCCGCTAAACCGTTGCCTAAAGATCTTGAAGAATTTATTGCTTCCGCGGGCGAATCGGGTTTCATTTATGTCTCCATGGGTTCTTCTGTGAAGGCTGCAAATATGCCGGAGTCGTTGCGTCGCTTGTTGGTGAAAACGTTCGCACGCCTGCCATATCATGTGCTGTGGAAGTATGAGGGTGATGCTTCAGAAATGCATGATATCACGGCTAATGTACGCCTAAGTCGTTGGTTGCCGCAGCAGGATATTTTGGGGCATCACAAACTGCGCGCCTTCGTTACACATGGCGGTTTGTTGAGCATGTTCGAGACGGTATACCATGGTGTGCCAGTTGTGACAATGCCAGTCTTCTGTGATCACGATGTAAACTCTGCTAAGGCGGAGGTGGATGGTTATGCGATTAAATTACAGTTGGAGTCTCTAACTGTTAGTCAGCTTTACAAGACCATAATGAAGGTTATACATGATCCGCAGTATAGAAATGCGGCGAGGTAAAGTAAAGATAGTTATGCATGAAAAAAATACTAAATTGGTTTTGTAAACTTCGCAGATCCCGCCAAAGATTGCTGACAGACCAGCGTAGTACTCCCTTGGAAACATCCATATACTGGACTGAATATGTTTTGCGTCATAAAGGAGCTTACCACTTGCAATCGCCGGCAAGAAATATGAGGTAAGCTCAGCAAAATGACTATATAATTGAGTAATTTGGTTGAGAAATTTGTTTGAAAATATGTTTTGAGTTCAAAGTTTCTAACAAATTTTAACGAGACCATTTAATTATACGAAAAGACGGGTCTTCAAAAGTACAATCATAATTAAAAATTTTATTTCGTACAATTGGAACTCTACTTGTATATTCGCGATTTGTATTCTTAATGCATTAAAGTTTCGCTTTCGTTTGAAAACTATTTTTTCAAGTATCAGTTCTACGTATATCGCATGAAAAATATTTTATCTTTTCAGTTGGATCCAATACTACCTTATCGATGTAGTAACTCTTTACATGGGCGCTATCTACCTAATCTACTATCTGCTGAAACGTTTACTCTCTCGCCCCGAAGTCATACAACATAGCATACGCCATGCTCATCACAGGGTCAAAAAGCTCAACTAATTACTCATTAATAATTAGGAATGCTTGGTGATATTCAATTACGAAAGGGTGTCTAAGTATGTGCAACAAATGCCGCCATATTTTCTCTCTTTCTCTCTCTTCAGCTGTAGTCTGTTCTAGGTAGAGCGCATACTCTCATTTTCATTTTTACAGTGCCTGTGTGCAAATATTTTCGCCTTTTTCTTTTGTGTAGAAAAAGTAATTGTAAATATTGTAACTACATAAACATATTTAATATATATTTAATTATTATGTGTACAAAAGCGTGTGACAACTCTCAAATATATATATATGTATTAATGTAATACATAAAAGCTGCCGAAGGAAATTAATTATTTTTAAAATTATGATTCGCGGCTTTATTTGTGTTATTGTAAATTTATTTTTACCATATTAATGTGTTCTTTAAAAAAGTGTTTTGAAAAATATTTAATACAACAAAACCAAAGTCAAGATTAATCTAAAAATATATGTGAAATTTGTTTGATTTATTTAAATATGTTTGTTTCTGAGTTAATTGTCGTTTGGAACTGTATATAAATTCGCTGTTGTTTAAAATTGTATATTAATTATGAATAAAAATAAATTATCGATATTCCGCTAGCTATTACTACAAATTAGCATAGTTTTATAGGTTAAACTAAAATATTTAACAATATAATAAATGTTTACCTCCTCTATTGAATGATGTTTGCATTAGTTTTAACAGCTGTGGTATTATAAATAAAATTATATATAAAATATATTGATAATCTGAAATCCACTTTGCATATTGTTTTTTGTTGAGTAACGGTTTGACGCAGGCAAGATAGAGTACAAGATTGCGACGTCCTATGTCATAAACGAAAGGTTTCTTTGGTTCATGACGTCTCGAGCTACTACATTTCCATGACAAACAAAAAACAAAAGAAGTGGCGGTATGTAACTATCTTGCAAATGAACGAGGAATAAAAGTCTGGGCAGGCATTTCAAAATTTTTTAGATACGAAATCGCTATGATCTTGAAAAACCCTGCAATCAATACGATTGCTGTTATTTTAGAAAAGATAAAAGCGGGAAATTGCGACAGAACATACAAAAGATCCTGATAAAAGACATAAAATTTAAGAGTAGAGGTTGAGTAAAAAGCATTCAGCATTCAATGGCCTTGCTACACTTCTTTAAAGTTCTTTGCGAAATTAGAAAAATTTGCGCTTTTCGCAGCACTTTGAACAAAAGTTGCGTCATTTTCATATGCTTGGATGTGATATAATAATCAAGTAAGAGGTCTACATGCCAAGGCTTTTAGAATGTTCAGCTGATTTTGTTAAGCTATTATTTATTCAACTAACCCAAAACGACGAAACCAGTAAATTAATAATTTTTAATATTATATATTGCTTCTACAACTATATTCAGGCGGTTTGCCAAGAGATGGCGCAACTTTATTATTATTCCATTTAATTTTACGAACATACGTTCGAATGTTGCTATCCTTGTACATCTTTTTCATTATACCTTATTTACGTGAGTCGTTGAACTTTGTGCCTGAAGTGTTTTTGTGGAAGGTGCTTCTTCATTACTTTAATATGAAGAAAGCCTCAGTTGAAAGTAATCGTATTTTGGCGGAAGTTTATGGTAAACACGCTGTACCTCTGACCGTATGTGCTAAAAGTGGTTTACACGATTCAAAAGTGTTGATTTTGGCTTAGAAGATGAAGAACGTCCAAGGAACGTTAAAATATCGCCTTATAGTCAAACCCTTGCTCCTTCTTACTACCATTCGTTCTGGTTCTGGAATACGGTTCACATCAGAACAGGTTATCAGTTCTTTTGGTAAGGAATTCACAAAGAAGAAGTGATAGGATAATGTTGTAGCTTCAGATGGGTAATAAATCTTTGAATAATACTATTTTAAATATTTTTCTGAAATAAACGTTAAAATTAAAAAAAAAACCGCTAGAATTTTATTATAGACCTTCTAAAACTTCATAACATGTACCTTAATGTACATATTTATGGGTGGAATATAAATTTGTTTGATTGTATTTACATATTAAAAGCACTATATTAACTATAGGCGGGCCTGGATAAAACCATTCTCTAATCAGTTTCCTATCTTATGCCTTTGATTTTCAGCAACAAGCATACATATGTATGTATGGGGAACCAATTCAAGGTGACCATCCTCAATTCTCTAAAGTTCAATTGCCATACGCAACTAACTAGACATAATAATTTGCCTACGTCTCATTATCTAAACTTGTTAACAGGTGAAAGTCACACTACTTATTACCCTTTTCGAACCTTTGAGTATTCCTAGCGTAATATGTTGGTGAAAATACTCTTAATTGACCCTACAACTTGCCATAAATAATGACAGGCATATTTATGCATGCACGCTATTGGCTCCATAATACCCAATTAGCATTGAGATATATAATATAAGTGCTGCAAATTATCGTTGTAACACCTAGGTGGTCATTACCAAGCCATCTCATGAGAATCGCAACAACTGTCCGAATGATTGCAAAAATCGTCACATTTCTATTTCAAATTTATTGAATTGCTTTTCTATTACAGGTACAATAAATATATATGTATATATGTATGACGCATTACACACTACAATAACTACAACGAGTCAACACATTAACTAACTTTCAACTAAATTTTCCAACTTATTATCGCCACGTCACTTAAATAGTTTAAATTAGCCGCTAATTTCTTTAATGTTTATCGATCGCATTAACTTCAGTTGTTGGTGTGACATTCGTTGTGGTGATTTGATTTTTACCAAATAGCATATAGAGGCTGATTATTACACCCAATGCTCCGAGAATTGTTGCCATCCATTTAAAGATGTTATTTATTTTAATGACTCTGCGTAGCAATATTTTGGAAAAAGCTCTATTTTCAGCAAATTACCTTTTATACTTACAAGAAAACCTTTTTCTTCAACATATCAGTCCATGTCTTATCCAAACTTGCCGCTTCCTCGACCCAAAAGAGTGGCATGGTGAGTGTACGTAAGTTCTTCATAACCTCTACTTCTGGTACGGGCATCACAGATAGGCTAAATTGCAGACGCTTAGCAGCAGATAGTGGTGTACCGGATATCTTAAGTTAAAAAAATATTATTATAGCATTAAGTGTTTGCAATCGTTTCTTAAAAGAGAAACTAGAATATTTTCGACGAAAGTAAAAGCTTTTTAAAACCAAGAAATTCGTCGTACTCGATGTTCTAATTCCTTATAATGTAAGTTTTTAAGCTTCGAACATCCAATTTAAATAATCTTCTACTTGCTGATTCACTATTAGTCTAACATAAATTATATTTATTTATATCATTGTCGTATTCATTCCTCAAATTCAAGTTGTATATTTCTATTTACCCTTTCGAAAACAATAAAGACGCCATGCTTTTCCTCCTGCGGATCCAAACCATCTACGTCTGTAACCAATTTCGGATCGGCCTTGAAAAAGTGTGGCAACGACACAATCATGGGGGCCTCATTACACAGCGTAAGATCCATGGTACCTTTTGGTGGACAGTTGTCGGGGTAATCCCTGCAGAAACAATGCTTATCTGGATCGTTCTAAAAAGAAGTTTTTCATTATTTCATTTCATTTAAATACGCTTTACCTTTGGATCGCCCAAGTCGAGTGTATAGTAGTATGCTGGTATGCCTGCATAACTGGTCTTTTTCTCGAAATCTGCACCCAAAGAACGACACAGATCAGCAGCAAAAGACCACAGTCCCTCTTCGGGCTGCATTAGTGGAGCAAAAATGGTTGTGTCGGTGCCGCGAAACTGATTACACTCATCACCATCCCAGACACTCAGCTCTTCAGCGTCGTCAAACTCAAGAACGCGTCCAATATCACGACTAACCTTGACGCCTCTCGCGACCTTATAGCGACCGGCGTCAGTGTGATTGGCCTTAGATTACATAACGTTTAAGGTAATCAAATAAACAATTATAATTTAATTATTTGCATTGCATTTGCGCACTCACCCCACCAAAGAGTGAAAATTTAAAATGTGTTGCATTCACTTTTTCTGCTCCTTTGATCGCGCCGGTGTGAAAATTCAAACAAATTGCCTTTGCTGCGAAATGATCGACCGAGCAGTCGACATCGATGCCTCGAAAAAAAATGTCCATAAAAGGTGCACGCACAAATGGAGTAGTGGGCTTAAATAGTGCTTGAATACCCTCGGATATCATGTTGATTAAGGCTTCCTTGTCGCGCTTGACGGCTATAGACATTATCTTGCAACGGGATTTAAGTGTATTTTTCAGTTAAAAAGACAAATACAACAAGTGTGATTGATAATCCGCCTTACTTGTATAAGTGGATGTGGCATCACGATTAAATCCTCACCGCTCAAGCCCAAATCGGGTCTGAAAATGAATGTGTTGCGCATATTGTAGGCCACCGCGTCCTCATCCTCGAAGTCCTCCAAATCGTATTTGTCCTTCCATTCCCTTTATTGCATTTCATTATGTATTTCATATTTATTTGAAGTGTTTTAGAGTATGTGTGTGTGTGTTTGATGCACTTACTCGAATACAAACGGTCCGACTTCTTGCACATGTGGTTTTCCGCCATTTTGCACTTCATCGGGATTTGTTAGGTTGAAGACGTAAATTGAAAAATTCAAGGCGATGGGGAATTTTTCCCACATTTGTCGCGGTTCGCTGCCAGGTTTCAAATTCAATTGCTTTATGGATAAGTTAAATAGGTAGAAAGAAGTATTGTTACTGATTTTATAAAAATTAAAGAAATATGTAAGTTAATACTATTTTTTTTTTACAGTATATAAGAGTGTATAGATATTTCCTCTTTGTAAATGAAATGAACTATTTTTAGAATTTTTCCTCAGAGAAAGTCTTTGCATTATCTGCTGATTTCTTAACCGTACATGCATATATTAGACGTTGGAAACTTTTTCCTTACACAAATTAAATCATTTTATATGGATTAGTTGAAACTTTTTATGTTTATACACATATATATGTTTATGTGCATATATTTGAGGATATTAATTTAATTATACAATACAAATTTTTCATAAACTTCTTAACTTCTAGCACGTCGCCTGAACCAGATATTCGTGTTCCGAGAATATAAGAGAAAATCCGGATATAGGGATTGAAAGTGATAACACTCTTCATACAAAAAAATAATCGAAAGTTGAAGAAACATCGCTTGAAAAGATCGTATTGGTTTCAGAGATAGCGGAGGATATCTCTTATGAGTCGACTCAACACATTTTGGGTAATCTTTTGGGTATGAAACGTGTCAATGATAGGCTCGCATCAAAATACCTGAATATTTTGCAAAACGGACTTCGAGTAGATGTCGCAAAAGATATGTTTGATAACGTGGTTGAGGATCCTACATTCACCAAACGCGCCATTACTAGTGGCGAGACGTGGAATTATGAAAAGGACGTCGAAACTGTCTTATATATATCGATCTAAAATTTTGCACACATATTTTTCTCCCTAAGAAGCTGCTCAGTTGTCGGAACCTAACTGATTTTGGACCCTTATAGCATAGAGCTGCCATACAAACTGAACGCGCAAAATCAAGTTCTTGTATGGAAAACTTATTGATTAGAAAAACTAACTTCACAAAATTTGGCATAGAATATGTTATTGTTCAAGACAGCGCTATAATCTCAGATTTAGATCGGACCCTTATAATATATAGCAGCCATTTAGACTATCCGATTAAAATCAAGATAAAAATAGTATAGCTGAATGGTTTTATGAAGTTTTGATCACTTTTTTGAAGTTTCATGGGGAAACGGGGAGTGTTATTATGGACATTATTATGTTCTGGTACGAACTTGGTTACTTTAAGTCTTGTTAGATAAGTTTTTAGTGTTTTTCAACAAACACTTAGGTGGTAGCCTTTAATGGCGCTAAAAAGCAACACCATTTAATTTTTTCATTTTATCATTGAAACCAGAATTTTAACTATCGAAAATTATGTAGTTTTGCGAAAAAGAAAAAAGTTGAACTAACTAAATTTTATATTTTTTTGTTGGTGTCATTGTCCGAAAAAAATTTTATTTTTCACTTTAGATTTCGAAATTTTATTTTAGATTTTTCTAAAACCTAATTTTGTTTTCATTTTTCATTTTTCTAAAAAAATATATTTCACTTTAGATTTCGAAATATCATTTTTGGTATTACTTTTGCGGCGCAATGTGCTTTTTAAGTTACTCTATGTTAAGTCCACTTGTTTGTTTTATTAATCCTCTATAAAGTATTTTATCTAAACTTTTGTTTGACTTTTATTAATGTTTACCCTTTCTTACCCCTTTTATCATTTTATTCAACAACTTTGGAAACCCCACAAATCCAACGAAGATTCCTAATGCGAGCGCAATAGCCGAACCGATGAGAATTTTTTTGAACATTTTTAATTTCTATTAAACCTCTTTATATACAACTCTTTAAAAGGAGCAATCTCTTTTTTGAAACACGCGTACCGGATTTGGAAAAGTAACTGTTTGCAACATTTCACCGTTTGCTGATTTTATTCCAACATTGCCGAGGCCCTCGATATATTGATACCTATATACGCGTATATAATTGCAGCAACACACTTTTCTCCCATACTAGCAATTATTTACTCATACTCCGACACATGTATGTATGCATATATTTATAAACGTGTCCTTTCGTTTGTTAATAACTTTTATAAATTTTTAATAAGCCCCTTTCATCGCGCTACTTCTTATAAGTGAGTGTTACAGACATGTGTACATTTCAATAGATTGGTCGGCATTTGTTGGTATCGCATTCTCCATTGATGAGGCGTGGTTTCACTTTTCTCACATTTACAGTCCAAATATTTACGGTATACACACATACCCACTTAGAAAAAACATTTGCCGATGTGTTACATTCCTGTGTGACACTTTGGGACACAGTTATTTTGGTTGTCTCTTGAATTTTAAAATACTTGGCGAAGATTGAGGTCAGGCATAGCCAAATGCATGCAAATGTGTTCTGGCTTGTTTGAGTAAGTAATTCCAGGCGCTTTAAATTACCTAATTTATCACACCCGTTAGACACTTTTTTGTTAATTAAGCAATTCAATTAATTAGTTAATTACGTCTTTCTGTGTATGTGGTATATCTTTCATTGTTTATGGCTGCAATCTATCGTTGAAAGGATTTCAGGTGAGAGAAATCGAAATTCCATTCTTAATTTGTTATTTCTATTTGCAAGGCCGAAAAAGGCCTTTTTTGTGAGGAACTACGACTGCGGGTGTCTGGCGGTGAGGCATATTTTTATGAAATTAAATTATTATCGAAAATCGTACTTCTTTAATCATTACCTGACAAGTATATCTAAGAAAGTCGTGCGAAATTTTAAGTCGTTCGGTCCAGCCATTTCATAGAACTTTTGCATCACCGATTTTGAAAACAGCGTTTCAAGAAAAACGCGATTAAAGCTTTGGTAGCCGATTACACTAAGAAGAAAATTTCAAACAAATACGCTCATATTTCCGAAACTATTTGCGGGATCAACTTTAAGTTTTTGAAGAATATTCTCATATATAAGTAGATTATAATATGCAAAACAAAGAATTGATTTCTTGAAATTCACTAGTGGATATAATACCTTAAACAAGCGAAATTAAAATAGCGAAGATTTTCTTGGGTAACTTTCAAATTTTAGTAATATATTTCTTCCATCTCCCACTATTTCTGAGCCTTAGTTTTATTAACATCAGCGTGCCAATGCTCAATCAACAATATGCTGTTGAAAACTACAATAAAGTAAGAAGTAATAAAAATTGTCTTTGACATTCCGAAACTTTGAGGGGTGCGAATCGAAAATACAACAGGTATAAATTAAATAAAGATAGCTAAAACGAGGTTAAACTTCTTAAAGCGCTTCATGTAAAAAAATATGTTGTTGTTTTCACTTGCAAATCATTTCACAAGAGAGCAGAGCTACTTAGAGAGCTGTTAATGGCGAATAGAAGACTACAGTCTATTCAACCTATAAATGTTTTTTGATAATTTGGCTCAACATTTGGTTAAAGATAGAAGTCACTTTGACTTCAATTATTTAAGACTGATACATATTTTATTAATATTTACATATTACATATTTTAATTAATAAATTTTGTTTGATAACCTTTTGCGTTTACCATGTTTTTGTCTCGCTTTGCTTTACGGATACGATAACACACTTATCAAAGACACAAACCTTAATTTGCCGTCACTGTTGAGTTCGCTTGCATTTGAAAATCTACAGTAGTGGCTAAAAAGTTAATATGATCGAAATTTTTAAACGGAATAAAATCTATGAAATAAAGTATAAATAAAGTTTTACATACTTGTATAATATTTAGGGTACTTATATTTAATTGAATTAACAATTAAAGGGACTTATAATGCATTTTATGCAAATAAAATTTTTATGACAAAAATTATTGCTCAACAATGTCTTAGGCTTTTTTCACAGAAAGCTCGTTAGCAATGCAGTGATAGAGCTCTGACCTTAGGTCTCTTACATTTGTCCAAATGGTCTAGTAAAACAAAAAATCCATTATTTTTCTTTTTAAAACAAGATACAAAAGGAAACTCGATCAAGTACCGAATTCCCATCTGAAATTGAAAGGTACGTTACTTACGACAAAGTTAATCCAAAACGGTCGTGGTCAAAACACAAACGGTGGCTTAGGCAGGATTGATAGCTAGGAAGGTTTTGCTATGTATTTGCTGGGATTGACAGGAATTCATCTACTATCAGCTGCTTCCCTATGCCCAAACTTTAAATCGAACCGGTGCTGTTAACAATCGGATCGTTTGAAGGAAGCAATCTCTTAGAAGCGGTCAGCTGTGGCCAAAAGCGGGGGATTGTGTTCCATCAAGACAATGCCAGGCCATATACATCGATACTCACTCACCAGAAGCTCCAGAAGCTTGTTTGAAAGATTCTTATGCATCCACATTATAGTCCGGATTTGGCACCAAGTGATTACTTCTGTTCCTGTCTATGGCCAATAATTTTGCTAGTGAAAAGTCGAACGGTCTTACTGAGCCTTCTTAATCACGAACACTAGTTTTTGAGTGGCAGTCATCGAAAAATGTTATTGAAAATTATATCGAAAAAGTTAAAGAAACAGTGACTGAAAATCATCGTGTTGGCATCAAAGACATATCAGAGGATCTCAATATTTCTTATGGATCAATTTAATACGTTTTGGTTAATGTTTTGGGTATAAATCCTATTGAACAGTCTCGAAAATAGCGCTCCAAAAACTAGACGAAACAGAAAAACCTATAATAAGCCGAAAGCACCGAAAGCTTATAATAAGTGTACGAAAAATTAGATTAAGCGTTAGCATACTTGCACTGACTATTTTGGAAGGCGATAATAAAGATGTGTGTTAAAATAGTTTTTGTGTGACCGCGTCAAAGTTGGTCAAATGGTATATTACTTTCGGTTAGTTTTCGCAAGCGTAGTTCACCTTTACTTTGTCAAGATCTATCTGCGTGGACATGATTTTTGATAGTTATTCAAGCCTGACTCCAACTTTTGGGAACTTAATTAGGCATAACCTCCTCACAAATGTAAATGATAATTTGATGTGATAAATCAGATGAGAAATGAAAAAAAAAAATTTATTGTTATTTTGTACACTAGAATATACTTCTTCCTAGCACTGACCACTATTATTCCAACAGTTCCAAGCGTAAGGAAAATAAAAGAAATTTCATATCATAATAATATCTTTATATTTATTAAAAAATTTGGCATAGAAAAATACTAAAAACAACATTCACGAATAGGTTACAGTGGAAACATATTCCTTTGCGGTTACCTACACATACATATCAATGCATGTGTGTGCATGTAAAACTCACATTTATATATTTGAAATATATAAAACATACGCAAGTGTATATATGTAGGTATGTATGTATATACGATTACATGTGAATTGATAACACTAGGTGTATATATCGGTGTTGCATATATGTATTTGTTGTTGTCTTGCATGCTGTTTAATTTATGTACATTTAGTTGTGTGATTAACACATTTTGTTGCTCTTTCAATTATATACATTTAAAACAATTTTTGTACATATTAATCTGTTATAACTACTAAGTGTTGGTGTATGTGTGTGTTTGTGTGTGAATAACTCACTCTTTTGCATATTTTTCTAACTTCTTTAAAGAAAACACATAATTGCATTTACGCATTACGAATATTTATAAATTTATAAGATTTGAAATTCATCAAAAATAAGCCAAAAAGTATTTTTCAACAATACACACGCCTATAAATTATTATTTTTCAACTGTGTTTGTATGCGTGTACTTAAATTTGTATTGGCTAAGGTTAACAGCTTCTTGCACTTGTTGTAAATTTGATTTAAATTTGTTAAACACCTACATACATATGCGCTTGTGTATACCCGATAGCCATAGTTAAAACACGCATGCAACTGTTTAGTGTGTGTGTGTGTGGTTGAGTAGTCATATTTTCACAGTTGCATGCAAATCGTGTAAGCGACTTCGTAGCCAGAGATGCAATTTCAGTTCGGTTTGAAGCAGAGCTTAAATCTAAAATATATACTATATCAATTTATTATTTTGCTAATAGCTAAAACTTAAGCACTAAACTCACACAGACACACATTTAAAACTAAATAAATCAGTCAATGGCTGACAGGAGACTGCGCGCACCCGCCCACAGTTATGAGCCGCCTGTCGGACATTTTCCATGTAACATGAACACTTTTACATACACACATACTGTGTGTATATTTGTATATATTATATATGTATATGTATGCATGTATAGTTGCTTGTTGTTGCAATCCAGCAGAAAAGCCCTAGTTTGCTTCACTTTTTAGTCACCAGCTGCTACAAGTATTTAGTAATTCACTTTGTCGCTGGCTTCGGCTGAATATCTGCTGCTAACAACCTTCTACGTTATTGTATATGTATTGGTTATAGATTTTTGCCTCGTTTTGCTTTTCCCTTTACTACTTAGTCCAATTCCAGATAATTGATCTCTTTGGTCAGCGCTGGCGGCAGCGCCTGTTGTGTTTGTGTTTGCGTTTGTATTTGTAAATTTTCAATGAGCGCCGTTTGTTCGGGCAGCAGCTCAGCTGCTGTCGTCGCGTTGGGAAGCGCGACAGGTGGCATATAGTTCGGTGGCCCACTTTGTGGCGGCTGATTGTTGTTGCTGTTGTTATTGTTGGGCATGACTGTGGTGGGCGTGAAGGTGGTGGTTTGTGTGTTCGTGGTCAGCGTGTGCGTATTGCTGTTCGAACCGGGCACGAAAACGCTGTAAAGAGTGGCAGCGCAAAAATGGGTCTATTAGTTAAATATATATTCACTGAGGGATTGGGTTAATTTAGATAATTATCTACACAGGTCAACTAATTTTTGCGTGAGTCTAGCATGAGTTAATTATTTTATTATTAGTTTTTATTTCTAGTGGATTTAGTCAAGCAGTCTTATTGACCTAAAATATCTAGATTGTTGCTTCTGCTGTCGAAGAGAAAGTATGATATTCGTATAGAGGCTCAATTTAACGGTTATAAAAAATATTTATATCTTTTTCATTTATTACATTTTAGAATTGATGGTGCTGAATACTTAGGTGAAAATTCGCGTCAGCTTAGTGCTATTTAAAATCTCTTCTGCCAGAATCCTATTTTTAGCTATTTGTATAATTTTTTGAAACAAATTTTAGTTAAAAACCAAATTTAGTTCTGAACCAAAAATACTAGTTCGTCTGAAGGACAAGTTTTTAAAACCGAAATGAAGGTAAGATTAGATGTCGGCATTGCCAAAATAATGCTTTCCATGGACAAATGAAATTTTTTAAAGTTTTCCTAAATAATTTCTTCTTTTTAGTTTTAATTAAACTCTCTTAAAGTTTGAACTTTGTGTATAAAAAGAAGTTAAATAATGCTATATTGTCTTTAAGAACTAAGGAAATGAAAAAGGACTAGTAAAAGAATAACCTCCTCGGGGTTTCAGAACTTATTTACCAAAATTACCCGATCCCAAATTTATAAAAATACCGGAATTTCGAAATTCTTGGTTTTTTATGTTGTCTTTTAGAACTGAGAAAAAAGACAAAAAGCTTAGTAAATAACGTCTTCTAAAACATATTTAAAATAATACCGCTTTTCGGGATCCCGAAACTCTCGATATTTTATCTTGTCTTTTATATATGACAAAACAGAAAAAACCTAGAAAATGAATAGCTTAACTTGCAACTAAATTACAAAATTCCAGTTTCGGAATCCTGGACTCTTGATTTTTTAGTATATATAAAACTAAATGCACTTAACTAGCTCTTGCATCTCGTTTATTACTATATTATAATACTAAATATAGTAATATAAATTGTTCATATTACAATCAAATATTTTAACTTAACCCCAATTTTGGGTTCTTAAATCGATTAACCTTAAAATTCAAGCTGAAAAATTCCAATTATAAACTTTATTTTAGTTACTCCAAATTTTATGTTGACCAGTGTAGTGCATTAAGTAATTAATTTATAACAGTATTATTGCCGACCACGTGCACATACCTTAAAGAGTTCGTGGAACGATATAACGGCGGCGGTGTGTTCATACGTAGACCACTGTAGACAGCGCCGTTGATTAAACTGTAAATGGAAGCATAATTCAAGGCGTTAAAATGGATGTCAGTCAATTTTTGTTTTAATTTTATTTTTATTTTTTTGCAATTCATATCTTTATTTTTACACTACTCACCCAATAGCGGCACACTCGTGCAATGACGTCAAGTACGATGGAGGTGGCGGTCGATGCTGGAACTCTGGATACAAGTAACCACCGGGCAGTATACGATTATTACAATAGGGACTATTACAGTTGCGGCAGGTCTCCATCAGGCGATAGCAGGGACACTCATCCGCATCGCTAGGTGTGCACAAGCGCCAAATGATGCCGGCCACAATGAGCAGCGACAGCCCGATGCCGATCATCAGCAGTGAAGCGCTTAAATATTGGGTAGTGTGTTCAATGAGGCCGGTCGCACCGAGCACCACACCGCCCAGCGTGCACGCAGCGCCGCCAAGCGCAAATATACCGATGATAAAGGGCACAATGGGACGTGAGAAGCATTTGCGGAAGGTGGTACTGACGGCGGTGGCAGCACCACCGACCATTGTGCTGTTGGCAGCCGGACTAGCGCCGCCACCAGTCGCTCCACCGACGATAACACCGGTCGGATTGTCCACAACGGCGGCGGGTGTGTCAAGGAAGCGTCTGCAAAGAGGAAGAGATGAAATATAAAAATAAATAAATTATTATTTATGGCTGCTGGCTGAATGTACAATATTTTTTTATCAATATTCATGTATATATGTATGGGTGTGCGTTGTTTGCATTTAATATAGGAAAAAAATATTTATAGTTGACAGCGGGTTACTTTTGAATGGCTGGCGATAAACACATATTATATATAAATAAAGTGAATATTTTTTCTGTGCTACCTGCGCACAATGCAGCTGGCGTTTTTTCTGTCCTTTTTTTCAGTATGCCACATGCACATAGCAACGAAGAGAGAAGACACAGCAAGGCATAAGCAAGAAATTAAAAGAAAAATCCCCAACCAGTATCAACTGCCAGCGCCATTATCAGCAGCGCGCTTTATTGTTGAACAGCATCTTGCATGTTGCATGCCACCGACAGCCAGCACCGCTGCTGGGCAGGTAGAAATTGTGCGTCACACAAAGTCATTAGACGATTGGAAATACTCACGCACACACATACACACACACACAGAAGTATGCAAGCAAGCAGGAAAGTGGAAAATCTTTGCTGGAATTAATGTGTCTACCTGCACACGCACCCACACACGCATAAGCCGTCGCATGCATGCACAGAGGGAGGGAGCAAACAATAAGCAAAGTGCCTAACAGTGAATCATAGCGTGTTTTTGTCGCTCAAACTCCCTGCACTTTTATCCACCGTCGCTAGGCAGTATGCAGGTAGAGCAGCTGATGTTGGCAGGGTCACAGGACTTTTGCCGACATTCACCTTTGTCTGCTTGTCACAGCGCCTTTCAGCTCTAATGCTCAGTGTCAGCAAAGTATCACACTGGTCTGTCGCTGCTGGTGCTCCACATGCAAACTGGTTTATACTCAAAATTTTGATCCTTATTTTGTTTTGTGTCTAATTTTGTTTCTTCCTCGGCTTCGTTCGTATTTTTTTTTTGCGTTCTTCATCCTATTGACATGCAACACCTGCCTAAATGCCAATGATGCTCAAGCATCTACCTAACTTGTTAAAATTTTTTCTATATGTGTGTATGTGTCATCTTAATTCCTTAGTATGTGTGTGTGTTTGTAAGAAATGTGTTTGCCTGTCAGCTGCTCATTTGACTATAATTTATGTCGAGTAAATGGACAGCTGTTTGCTGCCTGCCTTCGTCTTCCACTTTTTTCGAGCACTTCAATTTCTATAATCTCAAAGGAGGCTAAGAAAAAAAAAATGCATTCAATTTATTAGAATTGATTTCATTTTCATTTATTTCTTTTTTTTTTTGGGTTGGTCAACGCGTCTATTGCGAGATTTATATCCTTTTGCTTGAGAAGGTCAAAGCGAAAAAAAACTAAAGCGTTTATGGCCATTTTGTTTTCAAGCGAATTTCGTTACAATTTTCTACGCAGGTGCTCAGTGATTGCTCAGCTGAGTGAAATTCAGTAATAATCCTTCATATTAGTTCATCAGTTGGAAACTCCAAAATTTGGGGGAAAAAAAAAATTGTGGATATAAGTTAGAATTAAAGATTTTATTGCACGTTTTTCCATCGTTATATATAATATTAGGTAATCAGTTTTTATTTATGAAGTCACTTTTAAAATAATTTTGGATAATATATAAGTCAAAGTTATTCAATTGTTAATTTGAACCAGAAAATTTGTAGTGACAGTAAAAATCTGAATGACTAGCCTTTCCAATTGAACACTCATTTACGTAAAGAAAATAAAGTCGAGTTATATTAAGGTTAAGTTAAGTTATTAGTTAAAGAAAAGTTAAGGTATATTAAGTTGCTTTAAGTTATGCTAAGTTACTTCAAATTAAGTTAAGTTCTGTCACATTAGCTTACGTTATGTTTTGTCAAGTTAAGTTAATTTGTGCTAAGTAAGGATAAGTTAACTTGAAACTCCTAATTTTGTATTTTGCTAAATTAAATTAATTATCAATGATTAAATTATTTGGAAATTAAATTTACTGACTAAGTTAAGGTTAATTATGCTAAATTAAGTTAAGTTCTGTCAATGTAACTTAAGTTATGTCAAGTTAAGATAAGTTGTGTCAAGTTAAGTTAAGTTGTGTCGAGTCAAGTTGAGTTTACTTGAAGTCCCTTATTAGATTCGCTAAATTAACCAACCCTCTCTGATTAACTTATTTGGAAATTAAATTTTACCACGAATAAATGCTCAATTGACTGTGTTTATTTTTGTAGTGAGTGGCTCAATACGAAACCTTGTAAAAATCCAAACTGAATCTCGAAAACTCTTACTAAATCTGTTTACTTATTTAAGTAAAGAACGTTTTTTCTTAAATCGGGTTAAGTTGACTTAAGTTAAGTTAAGAAAATCAATGTTAAGTTAAGTTGTTGTAAGTTAAGTTATATAAAATTAAGTAAAGTTATTTCAAATTAAGTTATGTTATGTCAAGTTAAGTTAAGAATAAAGGTTTAAATCAAAACCTCCGAGTTGGTGCCTGTCCTGTAAAAATCACAACTGATATCGAAAATTCTTTCTTGTTTTAATCTCTCCAACTGCCAATTCAGGAAATAAGATCATTGCGAATTTTTAATTATGAAAATTAAGTTTCAATTCTAGACTTTTAATATTACTATTTTAAATTTATTCTAAATTTTGGGTATTAAAAACCAGAGTTCTCTTGTTTTAAGATATTTTGTATTTGTTTTTCGAGGTTAAGAAATTTAGAAATGTCCTTTACGAGAAAACTCAAAGTTCGAGTAAGTGTAATAACTGTATATATGTAGGTGGTGCTAGCGTTCATACATTTCTAGTAATTTAAGTTTACTGCTATACAGCCTTTTGTAATTTTTTTTGGTGGCATGGACCTTATTTGAAAAAAATCATTAATATTTAATAAATATTGTATTCTTTTACAAAGCCTCAAAAGCTCTTGAACTAATGTAATATTGGAAAAGTGAGAAACAAATTTCCAGATTAAAACTCGTTTTGATATTTTACGGCCATTCCATCGCAATCAATTTTAATAGTATTACTCTTTTCCATATATGCCAACAATAAGTTATTTATTTTAAGCTATTTGAAACAAGTAAAAGCTCTTTCAGCGGAATCACATTCAATTTGAAGCACCGAAAATGCTGCGCTTGGCAAACGATACTGCAAAATTAAAACATCAAACTGTATTGGAATCATTTCGCAACCGTTTTTAACGGCATATTTTCAACAAAAAAAGTTATAGTAAAAAATTAAACGAATTTATTTAATTTCTAACTTTGGAAGGCAACAAACGGGAAATGTGTAAAATTTGCGCTTGTCGTAAAAAAACTGTTGGCTGTGAAAAAATCACTGCGAACGAAAGCACGCGCTTTTACAAAAACAAAAATATATGAAATGGAAAATCTAACGATCGAATAAATAAACTAACATACGATACAAATCTAACGGAACAACAACAAAATATATAAAATACGAAAGAACTGGGGCATAAACAAGCCGGCATACAACACAAGTGTCGGAGATTTGTATATATACACATATACATTTTTTAATATATAAATTATGCTGTGAGCAACAGCAGACACTTCCAAAATTTTGTTGCATATCGCACCCTCGTAAATCAAAATAGCAATACATGTAAAACCGAAAAACTAAACAGTCGTGTGAAGTATTTCTGCTGCCGATTTCGATTACATTTGGTGATGGTTTTTCATATGCCGTGTTGTTGTCTAATTGTTGTTGTTTTAGTTGTCGCTGTCATTTCGCTGCTCACGCGCGATGATTAAATGCAGTTGTTAGGAGCACATTTTATTGCCTGAACGCGCTTTTTTCCATAAAATTCGCCTGTCTATGCCACGCCACGTCATTTGATTTCAATTCATCACATTTTGGTTTGATTGGCAGCCCTGTAGGACTCGGGCAGTGCTGAGATGGTACACAAATAGCAAAAAACAGTTATGCGTCAGTAAAAGTACTGGCCTCATGGTATTTGGCACAGAAGTTTGAGTTGCAGTTGAAATCTAGGCTTTTTCGTTAAAGGAGAGAGAGAGAGAGAGATATTTGCTTGATTCTTGGAATCACTTTCCACTCTATTCGCATTTTTTAAGTAAGAATATATGGTATATAATTTTTTCTGTGAAGCGTTCAACCAGAGTGTGAGCTGTTATGTAATCTGTTGTAATGCGAGGTAATTTATGAACTTGTGGTACACCTATCGTATAGCAACCGAATGTAATGTTTCGCTTCTAAAGCATTGCATAAATTTGAAGTACCATATTTATCGGTCGAAAAAAAAGCTACACATTACCACTTCACTTTCTATGAGGACATTCTTACCGGAGTTTAACGTTTAGAAAAATTTTTTACAACCAATTGTTACACGTATTATTTCAGCTTTTTATTTTCTATGCGCTACAGGGCCTTACACTTGTGCGCTCACGTCTGTACATATAAAATGGCTGTACTCATATATTTTTCAATAAACGAGCATTTGATTTGATCGTCATGCGCTGCATTGCATTTGAAATTATTCTATTCTTTCTGCTTTGTTTTTAAATTTTTTTGTGTATTTGATATTATTTTGTAATCTGTGACAGGCAGTGAACAGCAGGCAGTGGTTGTCAGCTACATTTCATAGAAAAACACAACTATTGGCACATTTACTTCATGACTTCATGTATTTTTATATATAAAAGTGTGTGTGTGTGTGTGTGTGGTTGGCAGCCACACTTTAGTGCGACAAGCTGCGGCTGCGAGCGCTTTCAATAAATAACCATAAATATATATATATGAAATGACAACGACTAAAGGCGAGCGAGCGCAACATAAATTAGCCAACACCGGCGAGTTGCGTTTGGTGACGCCTCGAACGCCCGAATGTATGCTAACACACAGCCAACTACACACACACACGCAGTTGCTTTGGATTTTCGGCTGTGCGCTACACTTCAGCTTTTGGAGTGTTAAAGCGCCACAAAGCACTTAAGGTTACAAAGTGCGTATGCACACGTAACTTTAGTATATGTAAATTTGTGC